GTATCAGCCACTCCTCCCAGTTTTGTGTCATCAGCAAACTTGCTGAGGGTACGCTCCGTCCTCTCGTCCAGGTCATTGATGAACAAGTTGAACAAGACTGGGCCAAGTACTGAGCCCTGGGGAACTCCACTAACTACCAGCCTCCAACTGGACTCTGCCCCACCAATCAGAACCCTCTGAGCCCTGCCATTCAGCCAGTTCTCAATCCACCTCACTGTCCACTCATCCAACCCACACTTCTTGAGCTTCCCTATGAGGATGTTATGGGAGACAGTTTTAAAAGCCTTGCTGAAGTCAAGGTAGACAACATCCACCTCTCTCCCCTCATCTACCCAGCTGGTCATGCCATCATAGAAGGCTATCAGATTGGTCAGGCATGATTTTCCCCTTGGTGAATCTGTGCTGGGTACTCCTGATGATCTTTTCATCTCCTTGCTTGGAGAGGACACCCAGAATGAGTTGTTCCATCACCTTTCTAGGGACGGAGGTGAGACTAACCGGCTTGTAGTTCCCTGAGTCCTCCTTCTTGCCCTTTTTGAAGACTGGGGTGACATTGGCTAGCTTCCATACTTTAAAGACTAGCAGAAATCTGTCAAAGGAAAAATACAGCAGCAGAACTCTCTTTTGGGCTTTCACAGTCAGCCTCATCCCCTGGTTTCTGTGATAATTATTTGTGAATGGTTAGAGAAGAAAGAAGCAGATACTCTCATAGGCAAGTTGCTTATGTTAAAATTGTACAGCTGAAATAAGCATGACTATTTACCCCTCATACTCAAGAAAGAAGAACCATTCAGAAAAATATTTAAGTATTTAACATAAACATCTATCTCAGAGCTGTCCAGATCAGGTATAGGTTTAAGTAGGTGCTACCCTCAGGGAAGCTTTGATCCAAAATTCCCTGAAACACATAGATATCCCACTTTACTGTATGAAGTTTTATTTTTTTCAAATTAACAAGAAAGAAGTTATGTAAGTGAATAAATACTCTACCCTGTTAGTCTGCTGCAGATAGTTGATTATATTGGAACAGAGGATTAATAGTAGGCAGCAAGTGTTAGATCCAATAAAGCACATAGGGACTGAACACAGGGTTAAAACAGAATTCAGGTGTCTAAACTCAAAGTACACTGCATACCATATATTAGATATATAATAAATAAAGATGTTTTAATTAAAACTAGAAGTGAAAATCTTGATACTAACAAAATTATCCTACCTGGGAATCAGAGTCTCACATAACATAATCTAGCAGAACTCTACCAGCTGCTCAGTGTATGCTGACCCTGGGTTTAAGTCTATATGTTTGAATGCTTAGAGTTAGTTTCAGGTGGAGTAATCACAGAAAGAAAACATGTGCAGAGACACAACTTTTTAAAGAAATAACAAAACTGAAACAGGTTTAGAGAATTATCCATCAAATTACATTTTTAAGAGTGGCTATTAAATTGTTGATGAAAGAATATAAGATGATGAGTCAGGGACACTAAAAGACCAAATGCATGGGTTCCACAAGATATTACACTAAGTACTAAGAATTTAACTTTATAACCCAATGTGATTAAATAGCATACTGCTGAAAATGCAGATGTTATACTACTATAGTAAAAAAAAAAAGCACTTTTTAAAGATGTTTCTAATTAAATCATGAAAGATCACAAAGAAAATAGGGAGGGGCTTTGCTGAGAGTGCAGTCATATAGAAGGACCGGGATTTAAGGCTGATCACTGAAGTTTTCTTCAAACTGTAGTATGGCCTTAAAGCCATTGAAAGCTTGGAAGATTTTTCTGGTGAAACTGAGTAATGTTATAGTTATGTTGTACTACTCAGTAATATGCATGAGCTGCTTGTTAGGAAGGATTATTTTTAAGGAAAATCTGGTTTTAGATTGACCTTGGACTCATATTTCTAAGGCAGCTAAAGAGAAGACAACGTTCACAGCGGTGAACATTCCTACCTGCTATGTAACATTCAATTCTCAGTTAAGCATGTTTCAAAATGGCAGCAATAGCAATATATAGAAAAAGTCAAATAACTCACCTATATTTTAAAACAGAGGTGTTAGTATAAAATAAGGCTTCAGCAAGGACAGCAGGATTTATGAAAACAACCATTTATAAATGGGATTTTTTATTTTTAAATAATCCTAATTTCTTAGACATTAGACTGTTTCTGAACTAAAACAAGTGTGAGCATTCTGTGATGTTTTATAGGGTTGGAAGTACATGTCAGTAAATATTAAAATAGTCTGTAATACAGCTGACCTTGCTACCTCTCAAAATATTCCAGTACTCGTGGAATAATTTCTTCTGTATTCCAAAGGCTTTTCTTCTGTCATTCAACCTACTGTCATTATGTATTGTTTGAAGGAAGGTACTTAACCATAAGAAGTTATGGCTGAATACGTTCAAGTATAGGAACAAGCCTATGAATGGCCGGACTCCCTTGTTCTGGGGTATTCCATTCATACACTTAAATCCATTTTTATAGGATCAAGTCTGGCTCTTTGTCACTGTTTTCTTCTACATAACCAAATTCTTCCAGGCTGAACAAGAAGTGAGTTTGTGTTCAGTCTGATGTTTTTTCTCCTTTATAGAAATTAAGCATTCTGATTTGGAGCTGATCTTTGCTTCCCAGCAGATCAGTAGTAACTATGTGATTCCTTGCTGTCCACATTCTTCAAAATCTGAAACAAGATACTCCTAAAAATCAGGTGCTGAAGGAATTGTGAAACATATTCATTCTTTAAAACCTCTTCTGAAAGGAGTTGAAGGAACAAATTCTTTATATAGTTAGACTTGCCAGGCTCCTTGGCTGACATCCCAAACTAAAAGCTCTCTTGCATTTTGAAGTCTAGATGTAACCTCTTCACCTACTCTTCTGGGGAACTACTCTAGGTTGATTGCTTTATTCATGTCTTTCCTATCTCTAAAGTTCTCATAACTTTTTTTTGTTGTTTTAGTACAGTGACCATACTATTGACCCAGTTAGTAGTGTCTGAGTTAACTCCAAATGATTGAGCCATCTGGTGAAGTTCAGTTTGTATTCTGCCTCTCAGAGTTAATTGGGTTTCATGTGGCACATCAACTTCAGAAAGCACATTGGGGCCTGTGTGTGATATATTATAGATTTAATGCATCCCAATCCATTAAAAACTTCATCAGATTAATTAACTGTAGTTTGTACGTCCATTTCAGTAGACAAATCTGTTTGATCAGATGCATTTGCAGTTGGTTGTTATATCTAAGCATGTTTCCTGTTCCACTGCTTATAACTTTAGCCAGTGGCGTCTCCTCTGTAGAAAGAACAGTTTGGCTTCATCTCCTGAACATTTTAATTGCTCACTAATGAGTCATATTTAGTACTTTAGTATTTGAGCATTGAGTGGCTGTTAAGTTTTTTTGCACATGTTTACAGCTATTACATTTCACGGAACTTGCAAAACTACTGCATGTTGCCTTTATTTCTAGTATCACAAACTATTATTGAAAGCATCTGATTTTGAATGTGTGTTTAGAAACAGAATAATTAACTCAGTTGCTTCATGACCATCTAAACTTTGCTCTCTTGAGTGTATGCTCAGGCATGTAATTTGGTTTTGTGAATATTAACTTTTTGCTGGACATAAAACAATTTTGCAGAATGGATTCTCTTATGGTATACCTGGTATCCAGCTAAAGCTGTGAATTTTAGAGATGTGATTCTAAATACCATGATTATTTTTTAAAAGGCCAAGCTGCTGAGAGCAGCTTAACTCGATGGCATTGTGGCTGTCAGCAGAGCATTAAAAACACAAATTCTGTGTTTCTCTGTACTAATAGTAAAATAGAAGAAAAAGGTTTTTCCTTAAAGCAATGACTTTAATGATAATCTTATGATACTTCAGAGGCTGATTCCTTATTTGTGATCATTTAGTGGTTGCAAGTATCATGCAGTCTTTCCTCATATCTCTTCATCTTGATGTGATTACTTTTCTTTGGATTTTTTTTAATTGCTTAGCCGTGAACTTTGTCTTTATTGAGAGAAATGGATCTTTTTACTCAGATATGTTTCAGTTATTTTTCCAAAACTTGCTATTTCATTTAGAAATATTTTTGTTATCAGTGTAAATATTCACTGTTTTCATAACATTCAAATTACTTGATACAATAATCCTGTGAAATGATAACTATTTATAGCAAGATATTCACCCTCCAAACAATTACATAGAAACTGAAATTTATCAGATTTTTAAAAATGTTTTACAATAATATTTATTTTATGCTTAGGTAGTCTGTATTTATTTAAAATGTTATTGTAATAGGTTTTTTTCTAGAGTTACCATTTTTTATTAAGAGAAAAATATCAATGATCATTCTTACAAACCTCCTCTAGATTCTTTGATAAAGAGGGAATGACATTTTTATAGGAAAATAAACAAATCTGAAAAGGGTATAATCTTCCTCACAATCTTTATAAAGCTTCAATTAAAAAAACCCCTGAATTAAATTGGTTTTGCCCAGTCTTTTGTACGTTCCATGAGTAGGCTATTCACATCTAAAACATTCTGCACTGTCATGTGCCCGTTCAAAATATCGCTTAGTGGTCTTCCCATGGTACTAGTTTAAAAAGGAAATGTGTCTGTACCAAGAGCTTTTTGGGGTAGATCAACGTTTATTTGACTTTTTTTTTTTTCTTAATTGTTCAGCAATTTCCAGCTATTTCTGGTTGCAAAGAAATATACAATAGGTCTTGAAACCCTCTGGGCCTATGACATGCAACAGTGTACATGATTTGTCTCCCTTCTGTCTTATTTTTTTACAGTTCTTCTTCCAGGAAAATTTGGGAGTGCTTCAACTGCTTCTGGGGTTGCAAAATTCCTTCCAGCATGAGGAACAGTGGTAAGTTCATTTGCTCTACTTTTGTCAAGATCCCATTTATTTCTGGCACTATATAATTAGAAAAAGCAGCGGTTAAAAATTCTCACAAAACTAATTTCCTGGTCCCATTCAAAAGCATAGATCAAGGTCATGACAGGCTATGCTCCTCTCACATCTCAGCATGTACTGACTCTAATGGATCCTCAACAAAATTCTGGAGTTGATACACCTAAAGAAATAATTTCTTTCACAACATTATGAGTTGTCCCCTTTTTAAAGACAAACCAAAACAGAAATCCCAACCATTTAAACAGAACTTCAGTGGAAAAAGTAAATGTGTTCAACATATGGCATCCTAAAACATCTGATATTTTAAGTCTATGGTAAATGTCAAGAACATTTTTACTGTCCTCCCTATATTACCTCACTTGGATCATTTGTCTTTCAAAGGACTAGTAAACCTTAATTTGCTTTAGCAGCTTTGAATGGATTTTTACTGTTTCTTACTACAGCCTTTCAACTCTAGTAATTTGAAAACTAAATATGAACTGCAAAACTCAATCAATCATGTAGTATTCTTTTAATATCAATTTTTATATAATTAGCCCCCAAACTGTGTTCAATTACTGGCAATTATTCTCATGCACTTTAAGGGACAACACTAATTTCACACTTAGCAGCATTTTAAAAGGAAGGTGATTCAAACACTATATAAAAAAGTTCCTCTCTCAAGAGCTATACAGCATTGTTGTAGACTTTACGAGAGAAATAGGATTCCAGTGTGGTACAATA